AAAAAGCGCAACCTAAGCACCCATGCTCCCTAGTTACATTAACAACTGTTCATAAAAAGTGTTTAGAAAGTTTAGTTTATTAATTGTTAATGGACAAACACATCTAGCATTTTGTATGCCGTCTACTGAAGCGCCTTCAAGAGAGCAGTGAGGGCAGTAGACGCAACCTGCATGACGGCAGACAATATTTTTAACCTAGGCTAGTACAGAATTTCTATCGATCGGTCACGAGCCAGCTTAGCTGACGCTAGCTGTACTTGTGTTTTACGTTTGCAATGGGGGAGCGACACGGTTTGAGAAAATTTGGTACTTTAAATTAACGGTATGCTATAGTATAACACATCTGTTGTTAAACTTATCACCATAAACCTATCACTGCTAGTTCCCAAAATACTCAATGGATACCTATGTTAGCCCATGGTTATTCCCTCACCACATTTTCATCAGCGTCAGGGAACAAGAAGTACAGGATCGGCATGAGGAGATCATCAGAGATGGGGCCTTCCCTGATTTTCTCCTTAACAAACGACCCCTTGGCCTGTCCCAGAACTTTGGAGATGGTCGGGACTCTAGACTCGGTCAGCAGGTTGAGTGGAGTTGCCAGCGTAGGACCTGTGAGAGGAAACAATTCAAGAATGAATTATTGCATCGAAGTTCCTTGATTGGGAAAGAGAGTGAGTAGTGAGTGATACATATTTATGACCACTTACTGTCTAGGTTTCTGAGTGGTTATAGTGCCTACCTTGCTTCAATCGGAGGCAGGATCGCCTCTGGACTCAGATAGCATTTGTAATAAAGCTATCGGTTAGGGTTCACTTACTCTACGAATCATTGACACAATGAGCCTCCAAATATGTAATTCTTAAAACACATGGCTCACTTACTCTACAAATCATAGTCTATACGAGCTTCGTAAATAATATTGAAGGTTCACTTGCACTACAGGCTCGTATACTATACGAGCCGATCAAAAATATCAAATAAATGAAGAGGGTTCACTTACTCTACAGATCATAGTGCCTATGAGCCAAGCGTATGAATTCTTGAATAATTCAGGAATAAGCTCGTATAGTATACGAGCCAAAATACTGAATTTAAATAAATTACAGGAGTAGGCTCGTATACTATACGAGCCTATTTCATGATAACTATTACACAAATAGAAGACGGCTCACTTACTCTACAGTTCATTGGCACAATGATCTGTAGAGTAAGTGAACCCTCTACAAATATTAGAAGGCTCACTTACTCTACGGTTCATTTAGCTACTCGTCGCGCGGTTTGCAGCGCATCGTTGCAGGCGTGTATGGTAAACCAATACCGCAGTTCTGCCGTTCTGCCTTACTTCTGCCGTTTACTAGTCTTGCAGCGTGAAAGAGAGCTTGTTATGTTAATGCATTGTTGAATTTTTAACTTGTGTACTCGTTGCTAGAAATCAAGCAATTATCAAGTACCGGTATTACAGGAGCTATTTTAGGAGTTATTACAGACTTAATTTTCAATTAATTAAAAAGACTCACGTAAAAGCTTATGCAACTAATGGAATTACTTACTGTGTTATGAACATTTCTATATAATTAAAGTTGTAAATATTTTTAAATTGTTTAGAAGATTGCCTTTTTAGTGTTTTCTACAAACGTGTCTCAACTTTGTAACGTTATTTCCAAGATCAATTATCTTCTATTTAGTGGAATTGGCCTTAAGAGGAGACCCAAAATAAAAATTCATCATTGTTACAAAAGTCATGGTTTATTTAAAATAAAACAGTTTCTTCTAAACACTTTCAAAACCAAACCCAAAATCAAACCGAAATTTATTTACTTCCATTAGTTTTCTTTAAATATAAAAAATCAACAAATTTAAAACATTCGGCTAATATTTTTTATGGGACATTTTAAAACCATTAATCACTGGTACACACTTGAGCCCTGTGAACAAACAAACCCGTTCCTAGCTTATCTGTCTACAATACAAATACATATTTCTTTAATGTTTCAAACTTCTTTAAATTGAAAAGCTAAACAATTGAATTAAAATCCTTCGAAATTAAATTAGGTTACATTAATTTCTTCCTGAATGAAATAAAATTTACAATTGCTAAACTTTTCTAGAAACATTAAAAACTTTACTTTAATTAGCATTTATTATTTTTAGATCCAAATTTAACTCTATTAAATAAATTCTAAAAGAATAAAAAAGGTGCATTTTATATTTACATCTTTTACTAATTGAAAGAAAAGTTAAATATCTAATAAGAAAACATCTATGGTCTTTCTTGTTATTACAATAATTAGCAGAGAGGGAGGGATAAAAGTGAATGAATTAAAATAACAAAAAAATAAAATAAACTTACTACTCATTGAGTAGGCTGCAGAAAATTCACCCCAGGTCTGGACACTGTACATCTACACTCTTGAACTAACAACCCCACATGGAAGCAGCTCCCTTATATAAGATATCTCAGTTCTGGAACCTTCTACCCCTACTCTGGCCAGCACATGCACTGGACCAGGTGATAAGGAAGCTTCCAGAGCTTTCTTATCAAGAAGTCTTTCCACTGCAGACTACTCTTGACTATTGTAAATGTAAATCTTTAATTTCAAATCATTACAACAAAAAATAAAATAAAAATTATTTTCTCAAATTTCTATATGAAACTAAACCATGTTACAACTTAAACACATAGCCGCAATAATGTTAATGTGCATGAGCATTTTCGCCAATGATAATGTACCAATGTCGACCGTACCAATGTCTAAACTTTACTTTCAAATGGATTTGTTGTTAAATTTTTTTATATTTATACATCATACATAATTTAAATGTTTTTACGTGACAAAATAACGAAATATAACAAGCTAGATTAAATACAATATAATTTAGGCTTGAGCTAATGGAAAACTGTAGTTTTCGCATACTTGTCTTAACTTACAAGATTCAATTACATCCTTTGTTTACCAAACAAGATATTTACATTTATTGAAAAAATAACACTTAGACATATCAATAATTGTAAATTACGATGACAACTGCATTTACATAACAATCATTATACAAAGAAGTATGTTTTTGTGACAAAGAGGTCAAATAGAAATTTATTTTAGAACTATATAATTTATAAAGACCGGCCTTTTACAGTAATATGGTTTACAGTACTTATTAATTGCGCAGTTGTTAAATGCCCTTATAAACATATGAAAATTAAAAATTTAAATTAATAAATCATTTTCTTTACAAACTCATGAACAATACAATACGTTCGCTGACCCCTCATAGAAATGAAAAGTAAAGATGATCGCAAGATCTCAAGTTCAAGTCACGTTCTCATGGGCAAAGACCTGGCTGAGAACAAGCCAGGCATAGATTGAATTTCGATTTTAATGAATAAAGTGTAAAAAAAAATGGCCTGATCTTTAGTTTTGCAAAGTGTTTTTAAATTTTTGAAATCTTTATTAGTTTGGGCAGGATTATTCATCAAAGTTAGGTTTTCTCCCATAAGATTAACATGGAGGAATCTAAATATTTAATTGGAAACTTTGTGTCCACTAATTCGAGAGAACGGCTGGGCGTAGAAACTTGATAGAGGTGTCCAAATAAAGGTTTTGGTCTGTAGATGAGTTATCAAAAGAAAAACTAAGTAAATTCCCTTAGGGCTCTGCCCCAGAAGCCTTTAAAGATCCCTCCACAGATTTGTTTACATTTTGGTCATGTGGATAATACTTTTTAATGAAACAGCTGTTAATTTTTAAACTGTATTTTAAACAACACACATTTATTAGGAGTTACTGAACTGTCCAAAAGAAGTATTTGCAATGTTATTTTCTGTTTGTAATCTATTATATTATTAAAGTGATACAATCAAATTTTATGTAAACGGTTAAGGTCATTTACCAAATGAAAATATAGGCATATGGCACATCAAAATGAAGCTTAGAGTGTGTAGATTTGCCGAAAAGTATTGAAATGGACGAATTCCCTGAGGGGGCTGCCCCACAGGCTGATTTCCAAAGGGCTACGCCTGGCATGCTTTCAATGTTTTAAATGATTTAATTTAATTTAGTTAATGAAACAGCTGGTCTGTACAATGAACTGGTGTTTGTTTATTTACTCGAAAAAGACGTTGGTGTTGTGAATGTAGATTGAGGATGGTTAGTGAGGTTGTATACGTTTTGTAAAGTATTGCTCAAAGTTTCATTTTTTAATTTAAGAGTAAGCTACATGTCAAGAGGCTTGACTAAAATTGAAGGATTATGGTTAAACATGTTATTCATGAAGGGTATTGCTAAAGTATGCTAAGGTATGTTGCCATATTCTTAGGGATCTATTAACATCAAAAGTAGGGGTTTGAAAGTAAGTAGGTTTACGCTGTTTGCGCTTTTAAATCAGTTTATATTTTCAAACTAAATCATAGAGTTGCTGTATTTTAAAACACACATCAGCACCACTTTAATAGCTCTCTAGGTCACATTTTCTTCCCGTTGCAAAGCACGGGTATAGCAGCTGGTAGCTATTTACTTTACAAGTGTAGTAAGAGCGTTTTTACATCACGCAGGTGAAGGTTGTGCAACGAGCGGAAGCGAGTTGCATAATTTACCTAAGTGATGTATAAACACGCTAACGTACAAGATTTTACCTGACCCGACAATATACAGGAGGTTACGAACAATATTAATCATTATCCATTTCACTCATCTTCTAACAGTAACGTTCATTTACAAACAAAAGCTAGGTTAGGAAAATTCTTCAAAACATAACAATAAAATTCAAGAGCACAGCTGATTTCTAGCGTTGAACGTCGTTGGCTCCATAGATGTATATTTTTTAAGTTAATCACTAAATGTTATTTAAATGGGTTTCATTACATCACCGAGTGAGTTTTTGATACTTTACATCACTCGAGAAGTAAGGAAGTTGTATACATCACGCTTGGGATAGGGAAGTTTAACATGGCGGGTTAGGTAAAATTAATTTTCTTCTGTATCATGTCATGTTTTTCAATTTAACGTTTCATTACGAAATCAGTTAAAAATCCTTTTATCACAGTAACTCTTTCAATCATTTCTTATTGAACTATCTTATATCTATTGTACGGGTTGCTGTCTGCCTTTTTCACCACTTTTGTCTATATTTTATCATATTATCTTTGACTATCAATGATATTATTCTAGACAGATCATCATAGGTTCATGAAATTATTGTCATACATGTTTTCAAACGTTGGACAAATCTTCGATTGTGTAATACAATACACAATAATACAAGTTCAAAAGGACACGTTGCCCATATGAGCCGTGTCCATATTTTGTTAAATTAATAATAGTTTAGAGCAACTGGATAAAACATTTTACAATATTTATGTAGAAATATGTGTATGATTTAGAAAGTCATTAAGCTGGAAAACTTCAATTTACTGCAGACTTTTCAGAGAGGTTACTTTGATTTATTCATTCAACACAGAAACCTTGCCTAAAATGGTATACCTATCTTGAATTATTTGCAGTGGCCTATATTACGGACCGTGGCCCACTGGGTTGGTAACAAAATTGAAAATAACACGACATTTTGGCTGTAAACAATAGCATAAAGAGTAAGTACTATTTAAGCAGCTACTG